GCACCTGATTTCTACAAACTGTCTCTGCCAATGTTTGAATTTGAACTTGTTATATTTCGTAAATTTTTTTCATAGTTCTCAAACAAGCTATTCACTCCCCCTCTAAATTGTATTGTTAGCCCTAATAGTTGTTTGCTTGAGTTTCGATTTGATAATGTTTTTGGTGTATACAAGTCACTTCACGTCTCGGGCCACGGATGGGTTGTGTACCGGTAAGCCACGAACCGATCTTGGTCACGAGCCACGCCCCGCGCCTGGTCATGTCATGGTCGCATGTGTATCACGACACTTGTTGCATATCACACCTTCAAGCCATGTGCATTCTGGCTAAGTCGAAGAGTGAGAACCGGTGAATGCTAGAATTGTTATGAAGATTTCATTCACATGAACACTTAAAGAAAGATAAGATCCAGCGTCACTTTATGGTAGGGTCGATGCCTTGGTTGAGCCGGGATGCCTCTTGACAACGAGATGCCCCAGGGAGAGTTTCGGGATACTGCCGAAGAGGGCGATGCCCCAGTTGAGCCGGGAAGACCCCGAGTCTGATGTTTTTGGGATGTTGCAGTGTGCGATGCCTTGGTTGAGCCAGGACGCCCCGGTTGAGCCACAATGCCCCATTTGATAACGGGATGCATAATGATGAAAGAAACCTTGTACATGTTTCTTTTGGGGTTACATGGTAAGACATAGATTCTGGACATGCAAGTAGTTGAATAGTCGCTTTAGCTTTGATATTATTTTGCCATCGATACATAATAGCGGTTTATGTCCATCTCACACGTCTTCGTGCCAAGTTTGAGGGTAAACCGATCCCTTACCTTCGAGCTAGTGATTTTACTTATTGAACTAGTCTCACTCCTTTCTTTCACAAACGTGTAGGTATGGCTGCACACACTTTTCCTCCCCTTGTGTTCGGAGTCCCGATGAACATAGAATTTTCCTTTCACAACGTGATAGATGTGGAGGATGAAATAACTTTTCGTAGGTGTGACTCAACCGTTTGGATTAAAGTCGGGATCAGCGAAATGGTCCCCTGTCGCTATTCTGCTTGGTTCGTCATAATAGACGAGGATCTTGTGGGGCCACTCTGGGGCTTCAACAGCCCATCGGGACCCAACGGTGGAGGCCTCTCCCTCTCGTAGACGAACATGGACTGAAGGAGGACGAGGGAAATCAATTTTGGTAGCGGTAGATAGGATCCCTAGCTTACCCTGGGTATAAGTATGCAATGTAATCTAGAAGCGTCATTATAATGCCCCACCATATAAAATATATTGTCGCCTAATAATATGAGTGTTTGATGTATCTTTGTGATGGGTGTTCTCGGCATGCTTTTGCATGCTTATAAGAAAACCGAGAAAAGAAACGGGTCGCAACGAGGGTGACGCGACTGGGGCATCACAAATTTGACCAACTTACATTAGTGCTTTGAAGAGTGAGTTAGTCAATTTACGAAGAGTACATGGAAATTGCTTTGCATGAGATTATCATCAGACGCCGGATTTGGGATGAGATATGGTAGAGCATAAGTTATTGATTAGAAACCTGGCATCTCATGGTTGCTTGGTCTTTAGCTAACATCTTGTAGAACATGTATTGGAAGCTTTGCTTAGCACATCAAAGTTTTTCTATCTCCTAATCAATTTATTTATTGCATAAATTATTGAGCGTTAAATTCTTGCTTGCTCATCTACATTATCAGCTTTCACATGTTATTGGTCTAGGCTTATAATTGACCAAACTACTTACTAATCTAGTGTAATCAAGTCTCCGTATCCATTTCACCAAAAAAAAAATCCTTGTATCCATGAAATCTCTGGTTCGCAGAAGTAAAATGTTCTCTCACATTTTACTTATGTTTATAACAATCCATAATAGATTAGTGGCGACTACTAAATAAACATGAACTACATGAATAAATTTAATTAAACCCGTAAATTGTGATTGGTATGGGCTTACAAGAGTTTGTGCTAAGTATTTGCTTAGTAATCCATTAATTTTTTCTTGGTGATTTATCTCTAAGAATGTCATGACACTTGATATCGATCTTTGTATCTCTTCAGAGATTGCAGTGACCTTGTCGATGACAGCCCAATAAGAAACATGACGTTCTTTGAGGATAGATTTTCTTTCAGAATTTGTCTTCTTGCTTGTTGAGATTCTACCCAAAAGCTGTTGATGATCTATCCCGTCACAATTCCATTTATAGGCTAGAGCACCATCGACAAAAAGCAGAGCAAACTCTTCACACTCGGCCTGAAACAATATGCGTAACCAGAGATAAAATATGCGTAAGAATTAGAGATGCAAAATTAGATATTTGCTAAAGTGATCATAAAATTAGGAAAGATCACATGTATCTGTCACGGGCGGCCGGCAGTTTCTTGGACGCGAAATAGCCCGTGCGGTGCCTAGCGAGTCGAGAAAACCCCAGGCCAACCTTCATTTTATTGTTATTCCTAAGAACGGCTTGGCGAATAGCATCCTTGTATCGGATCGTACTACGCCTAGCTTAATTCGGACATCCAGTCCCTCGAGTGAGACGCAAAACACTTTAGATACAACAACTAAGTTCGGTTTACCATGGGCTCATCAGGAGAGCGGCATTAACTCCCTACCAGTTTGTGCACGGGAGGCCAACCCTGCCTTCAAAGCACCTAAGCGTATATTCATTCTAACCTATAACTCCTAACACAAACCACCTTGACGCCACTCCCACGAACTAGTTGTATTATCCCCTCTGCATCATTCACTTTTAACCTCGACAACACCAAGTTCCACTCATAAGGGTACGAGAGTAGAGGAGAATCACAGTCCGTGACATTCTCCCTCACTCAATTCCGCAACGACCTCATTGCGGGCTGTTCTATCGCTTCCCTGTGTTCTTCAACCATTAATCCGCCACTCCGGGTCATACATTGAATGACAACACTTACCCAACGGAATATGCCACTCCACACTTCCCAATATCAAAGCCGTTCTGACAACTTTGGTCACTTATACTTCTTGACAAGTGTGGCATCTGAGCCAATTGCACTCCCTTGGCAGCATCTTTTTTCGCCTACTAGGTTTCTCCTTATCTCAACAGGCCAATAGAGAGTTCTTTATTATTGAAAACGTGGTAGCAGACCTATCTTGAGATTCGCGAATTAATCCAAGAACGTTTTCCCTATTTAGGAATGAATTGATTATTTCCTGTGCACCAATTGTCATCATAGAAGATGTCGAGAGCCGCACTTTGTCTGAGCACGTTTTGCCTCGGCAATTCACTCTCCGCTGTCATAGGACTGGATAGACCACAGGTTTTCTCCAACTCTAACTTACCTATTATAGGAATCCTGCTCTGATACCGTCTATCACGGATGAGCAGTTCCTTGGCCACAGAATAGCCCATGTGGTGCCTGGCAAGTCAAGAAGATCCCAGGCCAGCCTTCATTCTATAGTTGTTTCTAAGAATAGTACGTCAAATAACATCTTCATATCGGATCATATCATGTCCAGCTTAGCTCGGACATCCAATCTCTCGAGTGAGACACACAAAACACGTTAAGTACAACAATTAATTTCAGCCTACCATGGCCTCATCAGGAGAATGGCATCAACTCCCGACCAGTCTGTGCATGAGAGACCAACCCCGTCTTCAGAGTTCCTAAGGGTATATTCATTCTAACCTATAACTCCTTGTACAAATCACATTGACTCCACTCCTACAAACCAGTTGTATCATCCCCTTTGCATCACTCACTTTTCATTCCAACACCACCAAGCTCCACTCACAAGGGTATAAGAGTACAGGAGAACAATGGTTCGTGACACATACATGTCACACGAGTAAGCCTCATGCGAGCTTTACACACTTTTATATATGAGATGCAGATTTAGAGATTTGCTAAAGTGACCATCAAGAACAAATTATTTGGTAAAGTTCGCATGTGAGCATGCCATGTGACTCAACCTTGTGCGAGTTTTGTCCGCACGCAATATACTATTGAAACACCCATGCTTTGTGGTGGGTATCTTTTTATCTTAAGTTTTATCTTTCGTTGATGCTCTATAAATATATTTACACTGATATTTCTCCTCATTCATATAATTTATTTTTCATGTTAGCATTGATGATAAGAAAAATGTACTCAATTTTGTTTAAATAGCGCAAGAAAGAAAAGGTTGTGCCCTTGGGAAGACAATGTCTCTTTATAGTAATAAACTTAAGAACACGGAATATTCTTTATTTTCCTTTTTTAATTGGAAGGTTATCTTTCTTTGCCAAATCAATAAAATTAAGTGGAGATCTCATCTATAAAATTGAGTTGGAAATTACGTCTTTATTATAAATATTTTATCTATAAATTTCTTTATTTCATAGTAGAAATTGAAAGTAACGATGATTTTCCTGTCAGCTTCAATCACGCATTAAAATCGAGGGAAATTAATTAACTGAGAAATTAAACTCTAATAAAAGATCCTCATAAAAATTATCACACTTATTCTCTATGAAACAATAAATGGCAAGGAAAAAAAAGAGAGAAAGTGGAGAAGAAAGAGTACTTGGGGTAAATGAAAAGAGAACCTTGGCCCATAATGTTAGAATCCGTATTATATCCTTCACAAAATCTTTAATTAAAGGACCACATGTCAACATGGGCTTACATTAAGACCCTCCTTTTTCAAATAGTAAGAACATAGGTATACGGTGAGAAGGGAAGTCATCTGTGCTATGCGTGTATAACTCGTCGTCCTCCACCATCATCTGTCCGTACGACAATTTTTGCATAAGAATCGTTTTGCAGCTTCTTCCATGTTGATAAACTTGCATTTGACAATCAGTGTCAATTAAGTAGTTCGATAAATTTCTGCGATGCTTATTGAAAAGCTCTCTCTTGCTCAATCTCAAACTCAAATTATTATTTTTGTCATAAAAAAGGAGATATGTCTAATGAAGGGGCTCAATAGCGCCTTCGAAAAGTTGCAAATGAAAAGGAAATTGAAGCTTCACAACAAGCAGAAAAGATCATATTTTATTAAATTGGTCTTGGACAATGACAACTGAAAAATCACGAGAAGACATAAGATATACTCGGAATTCCAACAGATTATACTAGGTATTCAAAACCAAACTCTTAATTGATTTAAAAATAGATGTGACAAATTTTATTCAGTTGTTGAATAGGATGATCCACCTACAGTTGGTCACACTTTGTAACCTAGGTTTGAATACCAATATTAGTGTACTGAGTATCATTTAAATCACAAATAAGCTTCTCGAAGGTATCCATGGCTGAAAGCGGCAGACCCAGCATCACCGCAATGCCCTTCTCTCTACCTTCTGACATAAACATGCAGCTCGAGCTCGGTAGGCCACCGATTCCGAACCTCGGCTTTCCCCACCCAAAGTCCGTGTTGCCATACTCGAGCCTCGCCCATGAACTTATTACTAGTGTGGCCACAGGCAATCCCTCTAATCGATTCATGTCCAAATAGTCAATCCTTGACCGAATGTAGTCATCAGTGACGCTCTTGATCGCCTTCTTTATTCTTCCTGCGGAAGCTGACATTGGCTCCTCAATCAACTCTCCCATGGTGCAGAGACAGCAGGGCATGGCGACGGCGTTCCCAAAGTATCCATTAGGCAATGGTGCTCTTAGCCTAGACCTGAAGTCAACCAGTAAAAGAAGCTTTAATTGTTGGTGAAGTTTCATCTTGAGGGCCATGCTTCGAGCCCGCCACACTAAGGCTGCAAGTGCTACGAAGCTGCTGCAGTTGCTTGTTACCTGTTGTTCAAGATGAATAGAGTCCATATTTGGTGACCAAATCTTTATTTAATATATGAAATACACCTATATAGATTCATACATTTACAAACTTAGATGACCGTCAAAATCCATCAACTTTCAGAAGGAAATGTGCATACCAATGGGGAATAATATGTTTTCTGGGATTTAACATGGGCCATGCTCTTCTATGGATATTGGTCGATCAAAACTATATTTGAGGGCGAAATGATCTCATGAACGTATACTTTTAGTTGCACTTGTTATTCAGTAGTTGTAGGGCAATAAATTCAATCGAACATTTTACACAAAGATGTATATGAATGGCAACCTATCTACTCTCATAAGACAGAAATTTACCTGTTCATCTTTTGTTGCCATTCTTTTCACGGTCACCAGCTTCTCAGCATCGAAGTGGAAAGATTTATATACAAGTTGTTCCACATATAATGCTGTCATGTTTGATACATCACTTATGTGAACGAATTCGTTGTAAGGACCGGTGATCTGAGGAGGCACCCTTGATTTTAGGATGGTTCTATCATGACAAGGGACGAGGGATAATGGCTTGCCTCTTGCTATTTCAGCCCACGCATTCATAAAATTCATTGCCGACACACCATCTGCCATGCAATGGTTAAGTGCAATCCCTAAGGTGAAACCTCCACATCTAAATTTCGTCACCTGTAATTTGTGTCTAAAATTATAATATCTCAACATAAAATGCAGCACAGGTAAATATATGAAAAAGATCTCGCGTGGATTGACTTTATGGCCATCTGAAGTCTTAAATTCGTGGAGGATCAATCAAAATACCTCGATTTTTTCCGTTAAAAAAGGGAAAGATTTTTTTAGAGTCAATATACCACGAATTTGACGAAATATTTTGTCATTGAGGGAGATACTAATAAACTATAGAAATAACTAGACTTACTAAAAAACTGATATTACGTTTTCAACGTGAAAAGTTACTAACCACACTCGAAAAATTGCTTCCTCACAGTTGTTCCTTTTTCATAAAAACAAAGTTCTCTGGAGAAAATAATAGTTACCTATATGTAGATAGTTAGCATACTAGATGAAAAGTTACTAAATGCATCGAAGGAATTAACTAGTTACTATCTAGTTTTTCTAATATGAAAAGGTACTCGTCATATGAAAAAAAGTAAATAACTAATTATAAGTAGAAAATTATCATCTCTTAAATGTTAAGCAAAGTTAACGAATCTGGAACCTAACATCCACGTAAATTAAGTCTACCAAAACAGACTCACTATCATGTTAAATTGAGAAAACAAAGAAAAAAGGGGAGGGTGAAAGAAGTACTTATGATCTCTACATAAAATTCTGAAGTGAAATGCATAGATTAGAAAGCAATCTCAAGCATTACCTGAAAAGAAGAAAACGCAAAATTTTATTTTTCCTTACCTGTGCAGTTAGAAGAGGGGCAACTTCAAGTATATGTTCCACAGGATCTCTGTAAACAAGCTTATCTAAAACATCAGAATCGAGAAGTCTCTTATCACCCAAATTTTCGATGTCACAATCAGCCATTGCCTCCACAAATGGGACTCCTAACTTCTTTTGGCAGTCAACAACCAACTTCCCTAGAGAGTTTTTAGCTAATCTCCCTGCAACTGGATAGTAAGGAACCAGAACTCTGGCCAGGGCTTGCTTAATCACGTCTACAACACTTGTGTCGCTCCTGTCGAAAGAATAAATGGTCGGCACAATTGCAGGAGCCACTTGATCGAGGCTTGTTAAGAAAACGGAACCCTCAGGCGTTTCATGTTCTGGTAGGACCACGATGGGGATAGATCTTTCTATTTTTAGGACGCTGTTCTTCGCAGATGCTGCCATAGGAGAATTCTGGAAACTTATATCCTGCTCTCTTTGTTGAGGTAAAAAGAAAATGAGCTGAGAAGCACAGAAAAAGTTGTTGCAATAGGTTTAGGATTTGGAAAAATTGAAAAGTTTTTGAGCGAATTAAAATCGGAACAATAGGTTTAGGATGTGCTTTTTTTTTCCTTGGCCGGATACAACGCACACAAGACTCAAACTCAGACGAAAACCCGCATACATACCTCTTAAGAGTTGGAGATACTGGAGATGAAGCACTCGGATTTGGCTTCTAGTAGCAGGTCCAGAATTGATGGTCGTGGCGTCTCCAGTGCTAGCATTGAACATGAAATAGTTGCATCACAGGGTCGTTTTAAGTACTTTATTTATTTAATTATTTGGATGGAATGTGCAACCACTTTAAGCTTCCATTTATCGCGCACCAGTTCTTGGTTTGGGATTATTTTATTTTAATTAATACTTTTTGTTTGGTACAACAAGAGATATATAATTGCTGTCTAAGAGAAGATTGGTGTAACTTTCTATTTATAATGTAAAAAATGATCGGTGCACTAAATAAAACGGACAGCACATCTCGTTAATTAAATCTTCTACAATAAGAAAAAAATTGTCCAAAAAGTCTTAAACCTATTGCAATTTTGTCAATTCAATCTTAAAACTTTTAATTTTTCCAATTGAGTGCTAAACATTTTTTCATTTTTCCAATTGAGTCAGTCCGACTAATTGTACGTGAAAATATTTAGAACTCAATTAGCAAAATTAAAAGATTTAGAATTGAATTGGCAAAAGTGCAATAAGTGAGGGCTTTTTGGACAATTGCCCTTGTTTATATAGTTTACTAAGAATATGCTTCACATGCCGTTTTGTCAATTATGTTTATGGATTCAAAATGTCAAGTACCCCTCGCATTTTGAAGCTATTTGCTGTAAGTGCCTGTATTCACAATTTATTGTTTTGGGTGACAATGAATTTCATATCTCCTTTCCTGTCCCATGATGCATCCGTAACATGTGCCGCTGTGGTCGACCAACCAAACAGAATTGGAAAATGGCAATTTGGCCTCGGGTTTGGGTGGATGCCGACCTCCCATTCCATTCTCAAGCAAAGAATGTCATGATAAATTTAAAAATTGGAAAAGTTGGCTCATCCGAGGCTGTAGAGCCCATAGAAAATTCCACCAGTTTGAGTGTCTACCGGATCGTTCGGAGAGTGAAAGCAAAGCAATTGATTGATGGGTGATGGATTGTCTAATAATTGACATCGTAGCTAAGAGTTATAGATATAATGAAAAAAGGCCTAATTCCAAAAAAAAAAGAAACAAATTTACTTTAAATGACAATTCTGGCCCGAATTTTTTTTTTATTTTACAAAAAATCATTCATTTTTATTTAAATCATAAATCTGGCTCGAACAATTTGAAATTTTCATATTACGGGGGTCAGATTTGAGACTTGAGTAAAAGTTGATACTTTTTATTGAGACAAAAAAAAGTTCGGTCCCAAATTGTCACTCAAAATGAGTTGTTGCTTTTTTTTGGGAAGTAGACCAATGAAAAAATCAGATGAGTAATAAATGAAGTTACTCATCGTGTGTCAGCAATGACCTCATTTTTTAGGCGTTGGAATATTTTGTGTAGAGTGCAGACTCTTTAATGTCAATTTACATTGTAGAAGACCAAAAATAGCATAATTTTAGTTACTTGCTAGAGATTTATTGCGGTCTCTCCCGCTTCCCCCTCTCTCTCTCTCCTCACACCTCCCTCTCTCTCTTCTCACACCGTTATCTTCTTCAACCTTCAGTCGTGGGAGGAGGGTTTGAGCTATCTCATCTTCTCCTCCCATCTTTGTTGATTTTGTTTGTGTATTTTTTGTTATTTTCTTATTTCATCTTTTCTCCCTATCTAGTTCTACATTTGAGAGTTTGAACTCTTCCAATCTAGATTTGAGCCAATCTAAATTTGAGAGTTTAATAAGGGATAAGTGGATTGGAAGTTGTAAATCTTGTCACAAAGATGCAACCGAGTGCTAAAACTTTTAAAAGTGCAATCATGTCCAAAAACTTATCACGAAAGTGTAATCGAGTTCAACAACTTTCAAAAAGTACAATCGAGTTTTAAAAATTATCATGAAAGTATAATTGAATCCTAAAACTTTCAAATAGTGCAATCAACAGAATGATTAGATTGGACCAATTTGACAAGTTTTAGAACTTGATTAAACATTTTGAAAGTTTTAGGACTCCATTGCACTTTTGTGACAAGTTTTAGGATTTGATTATATTTTTGAAAGTTTGAGGACTCAGTTGCACTTTTGTTATAAGTTTTAAGACTTCCAATACACTTTTTCCTTTAATAAATATGATTTTTTTATGCCCAATGCTTTGTTCATATACAAGTCCTCTATCTCTGGCTTCAATGGTGGTCGCAAAAAGTCTTGTGTCTCGCTGAACTATGAAGATTTGTTATCCCAAATATTATATTTTTGTTTGTTCAACATGTTTTGGTTGTCTCCGTACAGCGATAATGTAAACGAAGTCGAATGTGGGTGCGCACCACCAACTGGCAACGCCGTAGTTATTGGAAAATGAACTTATGTTGTGCGCTCATCACTGACAAAAATACAAGATCCAATGATCGACCGTCAATTATTTTGCTTGACAAATATATCTTGTGGAACAAGCGTCTGCTTAACCTTGTTGATGCTCTGTTGATCCTCATTTTCTATATTTGGCTTTGTTTTACAGTATTCAAAGCTTTGCTCTCTTTCGATTTGTTTTGCTACGAAGTTTATGTACTTCCCATGTTTCTTTTTAAGTAATGAATAAAATTTTCTTTCAATAAAAAAAAGTAATGTAATATATGTAACTAGCTTCATACACCATCAGGGCATCAAAATTTAATCAAACCAGCTCTGTCTACTATTAATCTGAAGATTATAACTATTCATTCTCTCGAATCAATTTGCTCTCTGGTGAAATTGATATGGCGCCGAGGATACAATTGTGCTTACATCATTCATAACAAATTTCTCTTACTTAGTCAGGAAGCTCACTTAACCAAGATTAAGTTTTGGCTTCACCAAGAACTTTTTTAGTTCACTCTATAATAACAACTGCGAGAGACTTTGTGGACTAAAATTGCACATGAACATCAGCCAAATTCGAAAGCACGAAAAGATTGTTGGTTCCATTAATTTTCTCTGGAAGTGAAAAGGAAATTGAACCATTACACAAGTGAAATCACGTTTAATCAAATTAATCTTAAGAATGCCGATGGACAAATGATATGGACAAAAATTGAAAAAAAATAATTGAATTTGAAACTGATCACGCCATTCAACGTAATCAATTATATGAAGAAGTAATAAAGTGCATTAAGACCGATTTACAAAATCGGTTATGAACATCAATATCAGCCAACTTATATTAGCGCTTTGTTGGAAAGAAAATTCAAGAATGAGTAGGCAATTGATTACAAGAATATAGAGATTGCTTTGCATGGAGATGCTAGGTGTGAAGAGAGATGTGGTAGAACATGAGTTGCCGATTTGAAAAGGATTTAGTCCATATAAACAGCCTCAAAGGCGATTTGATGTAGAGGTTGTTAAAAAAATAAAGAACTGAGTCGATGAATCGTTACTTTTCATTGATATGTTGTACAGTATAAATAGAGATATCTATCACCTATAAATATGGTATAAGTTAAAGATAAAATACATGATAAATTAAATAAAAAAACAAATTGAAAAAGATCTGCGAATGATCAACTCAACGATACTTTGCTTAATATGATATCTTTATGTTGATTTGTAGAAGATTTTGCACTGTAACCATTCTGATTTTGTGCTTTTTGATTTGTTACTTCAATACTCCCCTTCAAACCGATCAATGGGGAGGACCAAAGATCGTTTGATTCATAAACCGACAAACCTATCTCGAGTCAATGGTTTGGTAAAAATATCAGCAATTTTTGAGGAAGACGGAGTCACAATGAACAAAGAGCCACATTTTCCCCAAAAAAATGACAATCAATCTCAATATGTTTTGTTCAAGCATGAAAAACTGAATTAGTTGTGAGATGTAATGCTGACATATTGTCCGAGAAAAGTAACAAAGGTTGATATTGGCAGATCCTAATGTCATGCAATATGTATAAAATCCAAGTGAGTTCGGTAGCTACGGAAGCAAGAGCCCGATATTCGGCTGCATCTGTAGAGCGAGCCACAGTAAGTTATTTCTTGGCACCCATGAAATACAATTTGAGCCGAGAAAAGTACAATAACTAGGGGTAGAACGTCATGTGAATTTGCACCCAACCTAGTCTGCATTGGCAAAGCCAAATAAATGGAGAGAACTACGAGACCAAAAGCAAAGCTCAAGATGTAAAGTACCGCGAACATATCATGGAATACGTTTTACCATTTGATAGTGAGCAACAGTTGGAACATGCATATGTTGGCAAACTATGTTGACCGCAAGCGGGAGATATGAACGAGTGAGGGTAAGGTACTAAAGAGCGCCTACAATACTTTGAAAATGCAATGGATCACCGTAGGGCTTATCACCATGTTTGAGTGGTGGTTGCTTGGTAGCTATTGGAGTAGTAATTTGCTTACATTGTGCCATTGATGCTCAACTCAAAAGATCCAAGGCGTATTTTTGTTGTGAGAGAAAGAGTCCATCAGTGGAGCGATGGACTTCAATGCCCAAGAAATAATGAAGAGCGCCAAGGTCTTTCATGGAAAACACTTGACCAAGTGCTTGCACAAGTTGGTTTAGTAATTTCGGGGAATCATTAGTGAGGACTATGTCATCCACATAGAGCAATAGAATGATAATATGACCATAATGATGATAAACAAATAGTGATGGATCAGCAATGCTATAGAAGAATCCATATTCGTAAAGAAAATCATTGAACTTATCAAACCATGCCCTAGAAGCTTGTTTGAGGTCATATAGCGCATGTCGAAGTAAGAAAACATGGTCATGATAAAATGAATCGTGGAAACCCAGTGGTTGTTCCATATAGACGGGAACATCGAGATCGCCGTGTGGGAAGGCATTCTTAACATCTAATTGGTGAATTTCCCTATTCTAAACAGTAGCAACAGATAGGACAATGCAAATTGTGGCTTGTTTGACTACTGGATTAAAATTTTCTAAGAAGTCCACGCCCTCCTCTTGATGAAAGCCTT